AATAGGATCATGAAACTACGGCACTGTTGGTGAAAAAACATAATGGGTAGGATTTAGTTTCTACTGTTGGTGCTTGTATTTACATGTACATGTATCTCTCTCTCTCTCTCTCTCTCTCTCTCTCTCTCTCTCTCTCTCTCTCTCTCTCTCTCTCTCTCTCTCTCTCTCTCTCTCTCTCTCTCTCTCTCTCTCACTCACTTTAGTCATGAGCTGACTCCATTGTTAGTTGCTATTCTTGGTAGACATGATTTATTTTGCCAGAGTCAGGTATTGCTAGCCTATTATCATTTTATCTCTCTCTCCATCTCCCTATCTTCCTTTAGGCTTGTTTGTGTATAACTCGTATAATTGCTTTCTCTCCTGACCCAATGGAGGGAGATCAACTCACACAGCTTATCAGTTGGATCACATCACAACTAAAGGCAGGCGTAAGTCCTTCTATTAATAGTAACACGGCTCAGTGTGTCTAAATGTAGAATGAGTATTTGGAGTGCATTACTAAAGCTCTAATGTCATTCCTAAGAAGACAAGCGTACCGGGTGCCATTTTTTGAAGCTCATGGCATTAAGCCGTAAGTAACATACATGTACATGATGTTTACATGTATTAATATTTATATAATGTACGTCATAGCTACACTTACATGTACGTGTATGAGATTTTTCATTGCCATGTGATAATAAAAAATAAATGTAATTGTACTAGGCCCTAAGATTGGAAACCTAATTTCTGAATTACATGTATTTTATCAAAATGAGAATATAATTTTGCCCAATACACCTACACGGGCATAGCCAGGGGTAGCAAGTGGGATACCCCCATTTTTAAATCAAAATAAAACCCTAAGTAGATAGACTAATAAGTTGCTTTGGGAAAGAAAAATGTTTTACAACTTACATACGTGTAGTAAAGAAAGCTTATAGTGAAGAACCAGGCTAGCTAAGTCCTTTTATTAGATATTGATGTTGCTTATTGTCATTCAGGAATTCTGCCATATTGAAAGTAAACATGGTCACAGCCTAAAGGGGGCTTGGTTTTGGAAAATTTTGCGATATCAACTTAGAGCTGATTCTGATCACTTGGATTTTTTATAAATTTTTAAAGTTGCTTAAAAATTGGACCAACAACCAGAGGCTTTGTAGCCTTTGTGATCTTTGGCCGAATTTCATCAAAAACAGCTAGAAAAGAATTCTCTATTTTTATAGTTTTTTTCTAGTATGTTTATTTATGTGCCCTTATTTTGTGTATCAACTTTAAGCTGATTCCAATCAAAATTGGATTTTTTGTGAATTTTAAAAGTTTCTCTAAGTGCCATGTACTGTATTGTAATGCTTATCAGCTCATGAAGCATTCCGTTTAACTCACTTAGCATGCTTTGTGGGAACCCTGAACTTACTTGTTTGTTACCTCTTTCTAAAATTCCCACTTGTAAAAATATTAATACTTGCAACAATAGTACATGTACATGTAGTTAGATGTGTATGTTGCTATTTTT